AGGTAAAGGTTTCCCCTGACATCAAGTCTAGTCAAGTCCGACTCTGGGGATGGTGCTCATCTCCATTTCTAAGCCGAAGAGCCGATCTTGTCCGTAGATGCCTCCAAGGTCATGTGGCCAGCATGACTGCATGGAGTGCCGTTACTTTCCCGCCAGAGCAGTACCTATTGACCTACTACATGTTAGAGGGCCCATGTCAAGAGAAGGGTCTTCCCGCAGGATCCCAGCACTCGCCCTGGGATATAGAGAGGGGCATGGTGTTCCACGTAGCCTGGACCAAAGCCGTATAGGGCTTTCTAGGAAAGAACCAGCACCTTGAATTGAAAGCCAGTGGAGCTGTCTCAGTAAATGTGGGATGCTCCCTGAAACTAGCTCCTGTTAGAAGCCTGGCTCCAGATCTTTGTACGAACTGTAGTTTCCGAGCACTTTTCAAGGGCAGACATACACAGAGTGCATTGCATCCAATTGCATCCAATCTGGATGTAACCATTATTTTTTTATTTATATCCCGCTTTTCTCCCATGGGTGGAATTTAAAGTGGCGAACAATGGTTAAAACAGCAGAAATTACATGACACAAAAAGGACAACAATCATAACCCCAAATAAAAGTAATATACAAATAGCACATTATGTCAACCATATACAAAAAGCTTAATGAATACAATATATACCATTAAAAATCCCTGGGCCACACGCCATTGAGGTTATCCATCAAAATATTAAACTGAGGATCCTAAGATCCTAGAAGCTCCATTTTTTTAGGCCAGGTAAAGCTTGCCAAGTTTGAAATAGACAGTTAGCATACAAGCTTTAATTGTGTGAAGGCCCAATCTGGCTATGCTAGTAGCGCCTTAGTCACATACAAACTAGATAACTGTAACACGCTCTACATGGGGCTGCCCCAGAAAAGCATTCGGAAACTTCAACTGGTCAGTGGCTAAACTGCTGATGAGGGCAGGATATAGGGAAAGAACTACTACGCTCCTGAAGTAGCTACACTGGATCTCAGTTTGTTTCCGGGTGCAATTCAAGGTGCTGGCTTTAGCAAACAAGATCACTATGCTGGCTTTTGTATTGGATCACTCATCAGACCCTTCCCAAGTGTCTAGGACTGTGTGATGTATCGGTGAATAATGCGAGCAAATCTGAGAAGGGTGGCCTTTTGCAGCTGACATATGGTGATTTTGTCATTCCTAATTGTTTTCAAGTGCAGGCCAAGGTCTTGAAGCCCTGCACCCAGTGTGCCGATCGCCACTGGGACTACCTTTACTGGCTTGTGCCAGAGTCTTTGCAGTTCAATGTTTAAATCCTCATATCGTGTCAGCTTTTCCAGTTGCTTCTCATCAATTCTGCTGTTGCCTGGGAATGCAGCATCGGCAATCCATACTTTGTTTTTTCACAGGATCATGAGGTCAGGAGTGTTGTGCTCCAAAACTCTGTCACTCTCTATTCGGAGGTCCAAGGGTAGTTTGACATGTTCCTTTTCTGTAACTTTTTCAGATTTGTGATTCCACCAGTTTTTTGTCACAGGCAGATGGTATCATCTGAACAACACTATTATGCCTCTGCTTGTAGCCTGTCTGCGCGATCTTCTTGCAGCAGCTGAGGATGTGATCCATTGTTTTGGCTCCTTCCTTGCAGAGTTTACACTTGGAATCTGTTGTTGAATTTTCAATTCTGGCTTTGATGGCATTGGTTCTAATGGCTTGTCTTGGGCTGCAAGAATCAGGCCCTCCGCCTCCTTTTTCAGAGTTCCATTTGTGAGCCACATCCATGTTTTTTCCTTGTCAATTTTGCTCAGGAACTGTCCATTTCTTGATTTTCTGTCCAGATCATCCAGCTCTGCTTGTGTCTAGTTCGCAATTCCAGCAGTGTGTCTGACGACAGAGATGGCCCAGGTGTTGATAACCTTGATCGTATTTCCACCATATAATTTGCTCTTCAATTTTTTTCTGATCCTTTGGAAATATTCTTTGCTGACCACATCATCATCATCATCAACATCATCATCATCATCATCACTCCTACTACTACTACTACTACTACTACTACTACTACTATTACTATGAGGTTGGGTCAAAAAGTAATGCCTCCATCACTCTAACTTTTCTTTCTTTCCCAGGTACTGTACTATCTCTACATGATATGATAGAGGTAACCTTACTCTACTGATATAGTATTTTATTTTTGCAATTGACTGATTACAACCATGAATCTGAAGCTAAAAGAAAGAGTCATCATTGAATTTCTGACAAAAGAAGGTTGTGCACCTAAGGAAATCAATCAACACTTGAAGAATGTTTATGATGTGGCCCTATCTAACTTTTACCTGTTTGGGCCTCTGAAAGACAACCTACATGGTTTCAGATTCAATGACTTGAGTGATGTTCAAACAGCTTTCAAATCATGGGTCACAAACCAAAACCTTGAATTTTTCCAAAATGATTTTGCTGCCTGGGTTAAACGATGGTGCAAATGTATACAAATTGATGGTGACTATGCTGAACGGTAGTTTTGTGTAGAGGACAGTTCAGGCTATGATCTGGATAAACTTCTGCTGTTATAGGTTCAATCATAATGTTTTTATGACTCAGGAGGCAAAACTTTTTGACCCACCCTCGTATTATTGTTTAGTGTTATGCCATCTATACTATAGGGGAAGGGCTCTCCCAAATGGCTTCCTGGTTTACCATCTGGCCTCCCAACAGGAGGAGAAATCTCAAGTCTTCCCCACAAACTTAGAGCCATGTAATGAATTGGAGCCGGAGAGCGAGGGCACAGTGACCCTGCAAGGGAAAGGCAACTGAAGAGAGAGACTGAGAGGCGAGCCAACCCCTAAATTATGGGAGCATTCCAATACAGCGTAGGCATATAAGGCCTAGTGCTTTTTCCTGACTCATTGGGAGATCTTGGCCGCACTCCCATCGACTCATCCTGCACTGTGCTCCCTTATCTGCCTTGGAATTCCCTGGCTTTGGGCCGGCGCTTCCAATGGGAGGCGAACAGGGTTTCAGGGCCAAAAAAGGCCAACATGCCATGAAAGGGGTTGGTGTCCTGTCTCCCTCAGAGCATGGGGCATGAGAAGACAATAAGAGTAGCCTTTCTTTCCCCCTTTTGAGATATTTTGGGGCAGGCCAATCTAGGAAGACTGCTGTTTTGCCATTCAGAGCAAACATTGTGCAACCGACCAAGAAGCCCTCTGTTTTGCTCCTGGGACATGTGCTGGAAATCTCAACCAGGCTCCAGCCGGGATTGCTAACATTTGGGCGCCAGGCCTTTGCATAAGCCCTTGAAACATTCCTTCTAACATTAGAACCAAATGGCTTTGTGATGCATCCTCTTCTTGTGAGAAAGGGCTGCTTGGCATTTCTATCAACCAGCCTTCCTTGGCTGAAAGAGGAAGAAAGCTGCAGCACATTACGACTGGCTATTCAAACAGTGAGGAAGAATCCACTTTTTAAGCAGTTCCTGATTCGCTGGCAGGAGAGGGCCCTCCTTCAAAGGGAGCATCTGGACCAAGAGGCCCACATTGAAGCCTTTCAGGAACACTCTGCCTCGGAATCCAGTGGGAGCTCCTTCTTTGGAGGTATCTAAACAGAGGCTGGATGGCCATCTATCAGGGATACTTTGTGCTTTTCCTGCGTGGCAGGAAAATGGCCCTTGGGTCTCTTCCAACCCTATGATTCTAAGGCTCCCTCCAAGTTTGGAGAGGAATGGAGCAAGGTATTCTCCCCCAACGATCAGAACCCAGGATGGGAGAGTATTGGGAGCGAAGCCATCCAAAGTGCCCACCCAGATTTGACCAGTTTCCATTCCCTGCCTGATACCATTCCTTCCGAATTATGCCTCTGTTCTATTGTGAAGGCATTCCAAATTAATCACTTTGAATTCACTTGATTTATATCCTGCCCCCTCTCCAAAAGGACTCAGGGCAGCTTACAACCAAATTAAATCATAATTACAGTAAGGGTGAGAGGGAGAAAATATTAGGGGTAATATTATATTATATGTGCCTTTTGTTGCAGGTTGATCTGTCAGAAGTGGGAAATTTTGGAGTCCATGTGAAAATACTTGCGGTTCCTATCAATCCATCAGATATCAATATGATTTAATGAAAATATGCTACTCTGACTGACTTGCCTGCCATAGGTGGAAATGAAGGAATTGAAGAAATGATGAGTATGGGACATAATGTGACGTCTCTGAAGACAGGTGACCTGGTGATTCCAGCTGATACAGGGCTTGTAACATGGCGAACAGAGGCAGTATTTGTTGAGGAAAAATTGGTGAAATTATGGTCTAATATCCCACTGATGTGAGCGGTCACCTTGATTGTAAACCCCTGCACAGCTTATCGAGTGTTAACTGATTTTGAAGTCTTAAAACCATAAGATTCTGTCATCCAAAATGCTGCCAATAGTGGAGTGGGATGGGCTGTTATCCAGATCGCAGCAGCCAAAGGTATCAAAAGAATAAATGGGGTCAGAGATAGAACCAATCTCCAGGAACTAGTGATCAGATTAAAGTCCCTTGGAGCTGACCAGGTCATCACAGAAAACATGCTGAGAAAACCAGAAATGCTGATTCCAATGAAATTAATTTTAACATTATGGACGCAAAATCCAGTCAAACAAGTTGACTCAAAGTGTGATGTCAGAGGCTTTCAATTCAAAGGGATGCAATCAATGGGTTGCTGTGAGTTTTCTGGGCTGTCTGGCCATGTTCCAGAAGCATTCTCTCCTGATGTTTCGCCCACATCTATGGCAGGCATCCTCAGAGGTTGTGAGGTTTACCATTCAATGCTAATTAAGCTGGCCAATTGCAACATTCCCACTTGCCTCCAACAGACAATAATTCTTTCTCCCACCCTGGACATTATTCCACAGATGAGCACCAATGGAAATTTAGTGTAAGCAAGATGTTGTAATGTTGAAACAATAATGAAAAAAGAAACAAAAAAGCAAGGGACAAGAGTAAAGGGACTGAAGGATCAACTTACCATGACAGTACAGTCTTCTGAGCCGCTGGCGATGACGTGGTCATTGTGCGGGCACCAGTCGATGTCCAGCACGGGCCCTGTGTGACCACACACCGTGGGGTAGGCCTTGTCAATGCGTCCGGTCTGCAGAGGGGAAGAAGACGGCATTGTCATGGGGGTCAACGTTGGCGGAGACACAAACTACACAAAGCCCCTCACATCACCTTTATGTCTGGCGTCAGGTACACAACTATTGCCAGTTGTTCAGTTTTACAATATAATTCCAGAGTTCTTAGTAGGTGTCTTAACCCCACACAAGAGAGAAAGTAGCACTGCATCGTCTGCATATAAGAGAATAGGGAGTGGCAGGTCTGCAGGAATAGGAGAGTGCGGACCCACTTTTTCCATACTTACAGCTAGTTAATTCATATGCAAATAGAACAAAACAGTTGCAAGTATGCACGCTTGCTTTGCTCCATTAGAGATCCGTATTTGCTTTGTTAGATCGACTGCATAGTATGGGCTTTATGGTCTTAATGTTAACACTTTTTTTAAAGTTTTAAAGTTTTACACTCTTGGTCTGTGACTATAATAAAATTCAATTCAAAGGGATGCAATGATATCTCCAAGCATCCTCCTTCCCTCTTCATGGTACCTGGACCAGGCTTTTTATTGTCACCTGGCAAATTCCTGGGAGGTTCGCTTTCCCAAGACAAAGTTCACTGTGCAGAAAGCTTTTCGAAGCAGCAATAAACATTCATTCTCCCAAAGCAGCTGACCTTAGACCCCGCTTGCTGATGTCAAAAGAGTGAGCGGCAAGTCCAGACACAGAGCCTTATGGAACAGAAGCAAAGCTCAACACTTCAGGGATGGCCGTCGGCCGATGGAAAGGAGGTGCTGGATTTCAGAGGGACCAACACTAGGCCATTCACAAATGACCTTAATGTGGCTATCGGGACTTTCAGAACAAAAAGTCAGCTGACCTACTTCACTATACAATCAAGACCCAGATACAAAGAGGAACAACAGTGACAATGTTACCGAAAATGACAATTTATTTGCTAAGTTATCTCTCTCGTCATTCTTTTCAGTATTAAATAGAACTGCCTGGGTCATTGCGTTCATTCAGTCTTCATTTTGGACGTCACCGAGACCTTCCATTACATATAGTGTAACATATAGTGCTTCCCATTACATATAGTGCAATACATAGTACCTCCCATTACATATAGCATAAAAAATAATACCTCCCATTACATATAGTGTTATATATAGTGCCTCCCATTATGTATAGCATAATATATAGTGTCTCCCATTACATATAGTGCAATACATAGTGCCTCACATAATGTATAGTGTAATATAGTGCCTTCCATTACATATGGTGTAATGTATAATGCCTCCCATTACATATAGTGCCTCCCATCATATATAGTATAATATATAGTGTCTTCCATTACATAGAATGAGGGCTTAGTGATTGCTTCAGAACACAGAACGCCTTTAAAGCCACAAAGGAAACATGTAGGAGAACACCAAAGAGATCCGGGAAGAAAAGCATCCCACAATCAGAAAGCAACAAGTTGGCACCGGTTTAGACAATGGATGGGGAAACTTTCTTTCCATGTCCCAAACAGACCCTATGAATCACAGTTAAGACAAATACCAAGCAGCTAAGAATAGACTTGGCACCTCACAGCCATCAATGCGGTTGTCAGCAGAACAATGAAGGATGACAAATTGCTTGCTAAAGGAAGAGCGCCTCCTCGAAAAGTCGCATTGAGTCTCCTTTGTGGAGAGAAAAAGCGGAGTATAAATACACAGAATAACAACAGCAGCAACAATAACAACAACAATAATAGAAATTAGGAGTCATGAATATTTTAAATCATCCTAAAGCGAGAAGCAATAATGACACTGAAATTAGGCATCTGAACTAAGTCTGAAGAGTGGTTTGGAGTCACATAAAAGCCGTAATGCACAGCTTGTCCTGAGGTTCCCATGGTTGAAAAGCCCTCTTCATATTTCAAGATAAGCATGAAGCACTGTAATAAATAGGACCGCAACATGGTCAATGTAAATGAGGACTGTCAATGAGGAGCAGTAGGAAGCCTTTGGCATCAACCCGTTCGGTTGGATAGCTTAAGGCTGACCAAATCTGGCCACCTCATTTAGCAACAAGGTCCAAAATGGGGTTTCCATAGAAAACTCCCAGCCAAACGTGGTATTTCCCACTCAGACTGATCTAATCTCCCTGTGAGAAAGAGGAGTGGAATATAGATAGGATCATCCTTCTCAGATTGATTCAATCTAGAAAGCCAGTTCCTTGGGACTTTGTTGAAAGGAAAGAACCTGCATCAGCTCATACCTCAGAGGCTGGACTTGAAAGGCAAACCAAGGCCCCTCTTTGAGACAAACTTTGTTGCTTATCATTGAAAGAGAATCGCTGCATCTACACTAGCTTGTACACAAATTTGGAGTGGTCGGTTCCCTTCGACCAATCTGGCTTGTTTGGCTTGGCTGGATGGCCATAACGGCAAGGGCCCAGCTGTAACGTTTTCCCCTCCGTAACAGGACCACGTAGCAGCCAATCACGGTTCCTCCTCCCTGATTCGGCATCACAGTTGTGTCCTGGCTTCAGTGTATTTTTTGCTTGGCTTCTGGCTTGGCCTCTCTCTTGAATCTTTTTTATTTTCCTTTATTTTCTTGATTCTTTTTATTTAGTGGCAATGACTGGGAGTTGGGAACTTGTGGGAAGGATGGCTGGGGTGCGCATGCTTCTTTTTCTCCTCCGCTCCTCTCCTTCAGAAAATACTTCTAAAAGCATTAAACCTGAAGCAGAAAGGCACCACTCCAGAAAGGGTCTGCAGTACAAATCAAGAGGAAACAGAGGGCTTTTTAAAGGAAGCCCAGGGTAGGATAGCTTCAGGTCATCGTTCTTCCTTCCCTGGGAAATGGGAAGCCTCCTTAAAATGCCTTGTAAAGCTGCGTGCAGGAAGAGAGCGAGCACACTTGCAGCGCCCATAGCGACTGTCTCCTTTAGAGTAGAAACAGTTTTAATGAAACATTAAGGGGCCACAGTTCTGCAGTGGGTTAAACCACTAGCTGCAGGATATCTGCTGACCGGAAAGTTGACAGTTTGAAGCCACAAGTCGGGGTGCGCTCCCGACTGTCAGTCCTAACTTCTGCCAAGCTAGCAGTTCAAAAGCATGCAATGTGAGTAGATCAATAGGTACCACCTCGGCGGGAAGATAAAAGGGCACCCCATGCAGATATGCAGACATGCCGGCAACACAACCGGAGGGCTCTATGGACAACAGACTCCTCGGCATGGAAAAATGGAACAAGAGCACCTCCCCATGGCCAAAGTTGAGCATCGCCTCCAGACATTGGAGATGGAAAAAGGGGAAGGCCTTTACCTTTGTCTGTGTTGTATGTCGTTGTTCACTGTGTGTAAAAGGCATTGGATGTTTGCCTCATATATGTATATTGTAGTCCAGGGAGGTAAAGCAGAATACAAATAATTATTATTAAATCCAGGTGTCCTCTACAGACCAAAGGGAAAGGATCGCAGAAAGAATGGTATCTTAACTCTCTTGCTTTTTAATCCAGGTCTTAATGAAGAATATAAGGACAAATGATGCAATTGCCTAAAATGATGGGAAGGGGAGCCCGGAGAGGCCCCCCCCCCCCAGTCAATGGGTCAGATCTAGACGTATTTTCCAGCTGTGGTACAAAAACTTCTATCCGGCTACCCGCCCGTTTTCGGGAGATGCACACAAACGGGGCTCTACTGGTATCCGGCCATCAGAAACAGATTGAAGTTCAGCCGAAATGCACAAGCCTAATCTACACAGCACCAGATGGCTCTTATTCTGGCATTGGGGTAGAATTAGGGCCAATTCAGGCCACAAGAAACGATCATCAGTTGTGCGCAGGCTCCTTGTCACAAACCCTTATGAAGATAAGGAAAATGTGCCATTCTCCAGGGGAGGAATAGTATATCAGGGACTTACAGTCATTACAACATGGCTTACAAAGCCTTTGGGAGCATTTCGGTGACACCAAGGGACTTCGGCACCTTTTGACAGCAGAAGAGGAAGAGATCAGAAGCTGATATTGCAGCCTAGCTGCTGGCTTGGTCCCTTTTTCAACCAAACACCACACAGATCAACATTAATAATAAGCTTACTTTTTAAAAAGTATCTAATAGGAAAAAAAACAGTTTCCAAAATAGTGTTCAGAATAAGCACCCTAAACATTCACTAAAGTACCAGCAAAATCCTGCATGCAAAAGTAGGTTCAAAGTTACATCCATAAACTACATTTCCAGGAGCTTAACAAAAAGCAGTGACCAACTTTGAATAGGAATTTCAAAGATCACCGAAGGCAAAAGCAAGAAACTGTAATCCAAGTTGCACTTAAACTAGAATTATATCTAAAAGCTTGAAAACATGAAGATGACCATAATCCCAAGGCTTGATACTTGCACTTAACTATAATAAGCTTAAAACTTGAAACAGGATTTGTAATTCAAACAGTAGCCATGGAACTCTAACAGCAAAACAAGATACAGACCCAAGAACAGAACTCCTAACTCGGAGCTCCCAAGACAAGGAACTTGACACATGAAAATCCAATGCTGATCTCCTCACTGAGCATTGATTCCAATTTATTAAGAATACTCCCCTTGCCCATGACATCACTTTCTCACTCCTGGATTCCCTCTGTTTATATTTCAGTTTTTGAGAACAATGAATTGGTCTCTGTTTTGCACTATCCCTTCTGAGTTGTAAACGCTGGGTTATCGGGAACCCTCCTGTCTTCTCCACATCCCTTTCAGAGTCAATCCCTGGCCGATTCTCATGAGAATCACTGCCTGTTTCCCCGACTACAGTTCTATCCAAAACATTCCCATTGCCTCGTAAAACACTTTTGCTTTCCCCCACAGAAACACGTCTCAACCAGAGAATCCCCGTCCTGATCCTCAGAGGCTTCACAAGCCTCAACAGTCGAAGGGAGAGAGAATTGGGAGCAACACTGTGCTCAATGTAGTGCTTTCTGTGGGGTCTCAGTACAGAAAAGACAACCAGCAATGCTAAGAAGCCCACCACAAAATGAGCAGACACCAATTGCCGAAGCCA